GCGCGCGCGCCGCCGTCGCGCCCCGCATTGCGTTGTACTATCTCATCATACTTTTGTCCACTGTGTGCGTTCTCTTGCAGGTATGATAAGTCAGGTTCATGCGACCCCCCCCGCCTTCAATCCCGAATGCTACTCAAGTAGAGACTGCTCAACAGTGAGCAAGCATTTCGCGCATAGCAAACAAGTTACTTGCTTTTCACAGGCCACTAAAGTTGTGCCCCCCCTTCCGTTTTTTCTCAGGCCGCTGCTTACTGCGTCTGGTTAACATGTCAGGATTGTGCCACGCCCCTTTGGCCTGTTTGTGGTGGGGAGCAGTGGTGTACGTTATAACAGTTATTCTTAAGCAACATCATTTGTTGAGTTGAAGGATTCAAGATTCCAATTAGGGTCGTGGTTGTCAATCAGAGCGAGTCATCTTCCCCGACACCGAATTCTGGTTTCTTTATTTTTTTTTCGCGAACTTTGAACCTCTTTTTTTACTCTCACTTCATGCTCATTCTCCCGTCTCCGCTCTGAAAGTTTCGCCTAAAAGTCCTGTCATGATATGGCGACGATGCTACACACACATCCACAAACACTATGATTTGACAGTTTTGTTTGGCTGACATCTCCATTGGCGAGTATTGTGGCCGAATGTCGATTGGCGCGACACGTAGTACACCGCGGCTACTCTTCGACTACTACACATTTGTTGGCTGTTCACTCGCTTTTGCCGTGTGTGTTTGGGCGCTTCTGTTTTGGGCCACCGCTCATCCGGTTGCTTCCACAACCACTTTTATTTAAATTTCATCTTCTCTGTTTTTTTTGAGATAGGTTTTTTGCGAATCTCGTTGAGTGACTTTCGTGTTATACCGCTTTGTACACGTCTGAACTCTCTGCAAACGAGAGGGCGTTAACGGGGTGTGGGATTGGAAGCGCGTCAGACGCAAGCTTTACTCCACTGTTGCACGGCTCAAGATGGTATCATTGGTGAACGGCAGTCGTTCTGGCAGTTCTTAATCCACCCCCCCCACACGCCTATCATTTGGTAAGGGTCGTGTCTGATATCTGCAATTTTTAAGTTCTGCTCGAATACTTGGAGGGTTTTTTCTTTTGGCCTTTGCTACGAATCCTAGGAATATCAGGAGGTTGCTCATAACTTTGGAAGTAGCGAAGTCTTTGGTGTCTGGGTTTCAGGACGGCTGTAAAGATCAGCAGCTAGTATTGGCTTCGCATAGCTGGGTGTGTGAATGGTCTTTTATTTCGCAACTTGTTTTTGTGATGTTATGCTGTTTTTCTGTTTTTTTGTTCGGTGTTCTGGGGCTTGGGCCTTTTTTGCCGTTCTGTAGGGGCGTTCCTGGGTTGGTGTGTTTTTCCTACGCACGAATAGAATATGGCTTATGTGTGGGAGATTATTTTTACCGTGGTTGGCTTTTTCGGGCTCGCCTTTTTGCAGGTTCTGTGGGCGGTTGTGGAGTTGCGGTGTGTGATCTTAATTTATATTTTTGGACGTAATATAGAATACGGTCAGTGCCCTGCTGTTTTTTCTTTTTGGTTCGGCGGTCGTGTGTTCGCGCCGGTTCGCCTTGTTTGATATTGTAGTACTGTCGCGAACACCGGGGGGCCGGGAGTGGTCGAGGGTTGCTGGTTCTGGGCTCGTGAATTCGTCTTTGGCTGCCAGAACCTCCTTTGTGTTTGTGGTTTGGGTGTTGCTTTGGCGCCGGGCAGGAGGCCGACGTCCGTATTTGCGGGGTGCAACTTGCGGTGTTCGTGCACGGGTTTGCTTTATAGGTGGGCTGGCCCTCGGTTGAAGTTCACATTTGCGGGGGAAACACGGAAACACTCGTTTTTCAACTAGAAACCCTTTTCGTCCGGCTGTTTTGCTGCTCGTGCTGACCGGTTTGGGTAGGTTTCTCCGGGGGTCATTCCAGTGCAGTTGGCCAATTAAAACTGCAGCTCGTACGGCGATTGGCAGAAAACGATCCAAGCTTGGCGTGCTTTTTGGGTCGTTTAGCTTTTTTTTTGGGCCTTTCCTTTCGGTGCTCTCTGGAGGTGGTCTCGGTCGTCCCAGCCGCGTTGGCCTTTGCCACTGCGCCAGGCCTGACATACGACTAGGTCTGTGGTCCGTGGACGGTTTTTGCTTTGGTTGGTTTATCTCCAGGTAGCGACGGACTCAGCTTTTGTTGTTAAGGTTTGCGTGGCGCCGGAGTCCTGTAACTGTGGGTCGGTGGGCATGTTTCTGTTCTGGCGGGTGGGGTTGGTACTGCCTGCTATATTTCTTGCCTTTGTCGTCGGTTTCATGCTTGTTATTCCCGTGCGGGCTTCTATAAGCATCTTTGATGACTGGGATGGATTCTCCTGTGCGATGCATGCTAGCCCTATGTACGAAATATTAGGGTCTATTCTGTGGCTTTTTTTGTGTGGCATGTGGGGCCGGCCCGCGCGGGTTCATGGCTTCGCTTGTTCCTTGTATTTTTTGGGTGCCGTTTGCGGCCGTCGAGGAGCCTTTGCTTTCGTTGGCCGTTTTTTCTGCGTACTCGTCGGCCTCTTTTCGGGTTGGGCGTCTTTGGCTTGCGAGTGAGACAAGGTTTGGCTTAAGGAATTAATGCGAAACATGGCCGTAGTTGTATGTCTACTTGAGGTCGCATAGGTGGAAGGTCGTTTCCGTGGATTTTGGCCCGTGTGGGTGGTTTTGCGGGCGCTTGTTGGCCAGTGTGCTGTGTTGGTTCGTTTGTCTCTGTGGTGCTGGCTTCGGTGGTGCGTTCTTTACAAGCGTTAGAAACATATTCTGACATAGGAACATAATCTGTTGGATCAGGTTGTGGTGGCCATTAGTGATGGGACACATTACCAGTCCATCAGACATGTTTTTGGGCGTTATGTGAGATTTGTTATCTAGTGTTCTCCTTCAAATGCTTGCTGGTCTTATTACTTTATTTCTTTGTTTTATTTGTTCGTTTATTCATAATTTATTCCAATGTCCCGTTGCTTGTCGAACGGGATCTCAGTAACGGTCGAAGCCACGCAAAAGGGAATACCACTGGTTGCCAGAGCTATGTGGAACGGGATCTCAGTGACTGTCGGAGGTCCTGCGAAAGGATCTCATAGCGCGGTACGGAGTCCGTACGAAAGAGAACATCAGCACGCATGGTGGCCAACGCAAGCCCCTTACAATTAGTGAAGCAGCGAAAGTGCAAAATGCTCCCCGTCGCCGAACTATCTCACTTTTTGCCATGAGCTTTGCAGGTATGATAAAGTCAGTATGCGACAACAAATACGGAATTGCTACTCAAGTAGTAGATGCCTCAACAGTGAGAAAAGCAACTTCGGATAGCAAAAAGTACTGCTTTTAAGCACTACTTCCAGTTTTTTCCAGCCTGCTAGCGTGAACATGCACTGTTTTAGAACAATATACTACAACATAGCATTGAAGATCAATTCCAAGTTAGGCGGTGTCAATCAAGCAGTCATCTTCGACGACGATTCTGGGTTTCTTCTTTTTTTTCGTTGATACTCTTTTTATGTCTCTCACTTTGACTGATTCTAGTTCCGCTGAAGTTTCGCCTAAAGAAGCCGTCATGTATATGGGAATCGATGTAACACATCCCACAAACACCAGTGATATTGACATCTCCATTGCGAGTATTGTGGCCAATGTCGATTTGGCCGCGACACGGTAGGTACAGGGCTATCTTGATAACTACACACCCCAATGTTCCCGTTTATTGGTTGAAGGTACACCAATGAAATCATGGCTCAAATGAGGGCCAGAGAAACAGTTGAACTTTTTGAGACGCAGTTCAAACGATTGATGACAAAATTCCACGAGGTATGTTGTGTTCCTCCCGTTCGTCCTATTCGAAAATTGAGAACACTGAACTCGTGTAACTGCGTTTTCAGCATTCAAAAGTATGGCCGCGACATATAGTCGTGCTTCGTGACGGGGTCAGCGATTCAGAAATGTTAAGAACGGCTACGGTTGAGCTTCAGTGCATGCGGTATCGATTGTTTTCTGTAATTCGAACATGGAAGACCTGCTTGTATCGAACCTGAAAAATAAAAAGGTTCGAAATGGAGAGAGAGAGTCGGAAGAAGAGCTGATGACCATTTTTTGCACGCTTTTATGCTCGAAATCCCTGCGGGTAGGCGTGGCCACATGCTTCATCTTGACCTGAAGGTGTCTATGCTTCTGGTGCGATATTTCCATCTTGACACAGCTGTTGTCGTGTCTCTGTCCAACACAGAACAGTATGACAGTTGTCCCAGACTAGAATATTCCACGAGTAACCAATTCCGTGCCATGTTCAAATGCCACGCCTGCTTTGGCTCAGGGATAAGGAGTGTAAACATACGCGGCAGTGTTTGGGCAGCGAAAAAAACCAAGGTCAAGCACAGCGTCGAGGAACATTGCCCGTCCGTACGACCCCTTCCTGAGGGCGCAGTGGGCTCGGTATGTTGCAGCTTCATAGGGCGCTACAAGGGTACCTTCCTTGGGAATGCCCTGTCTGCCCTCATTACTACTACACGTCTTGGAGATCATTAATCCTACAGTCCAGGGGATTTATCGTGTCACTTGCCTTCGAAAATCCGATCCTCTTACCAGGAAAGGTCAACACGTCAGCCTGGCTATTTGCAATGAGATGTACACCGTTGTACGCGTCTTGGGACGATGAACTCGGAGCTATCTTCAAAATTTGCAGAACGATTCTCTGAGCGGAGTTATGGAGGTTTTTCTTTACTGTTTTTCCTCTTACGGATGCGCTGGCGCCGAAGCAAGCACATGTAGCGCGACTTACAGCGCTCTTCGCGCAAAACAGGTATCATATTCGTGTTCAGGGGGTCAAGTAACCCCTAGTGACGTCACCTTAGCGAGGTATTTGGTTCTCACTCAACTTCGAAGAAATGGGGTATGGATAGTCATGGCTGGCTGATAGCTAACAGCCATACTATGGTATGGCATACTGGTGATGACAGGTCTTCCAACTGAAATAACTCTTCAGTCATATTTTTGAAGCTGTTTTGGATGATAACTGCTGTTTAACGCCGCAGTACGCGTTCCGAATGTTATCACAAGAATGCTGAATTGTGGGCAAAAGTCGTGCCCCAGGCGGGAGTCGAACCCGCACCTCACGCTTTCCGGGCGAGTGCCACTATCCGTTACGCCACCAGGGCCGCTTTTACCCTCTCAGCTTAAGGGCTTTTATGCCGTAGCCTATCAGCACTCACACGCTTAACTTGGTGAGCCGGTCAGCCGTAATTGATGGCATATTCGGCATATGAAACCGCGAGGCGAAGGCTTTAGATGTTTTTGAAGCTGTTTGTATGATAACTGCTTGTTTAACGCCGCAGTACGCGTTCCGAATGTTATCACAAGAATGCTGAATTGTAGGCAAAAGTCGTGCCCCAGGCGGGAGTCGAACCCGCACCTCACGCTTCCCGGCGAGTGCGCTATCGTTAAGTTGAGAAGGTAAAAGCGGTCCTGGTGGCGTAACGGATAGCGCACTCGCCCGGAAAGCGTGAGGTGGCGGGTTCGACTCCCGCCTGGGGCACGACTTTTGCCACAAATTCAGCATTCTTGTGAATAATCTTCAGTCATGATCTTTTCGCAAACAGCAGTAGCCCTGGCTTACTTATTGTGCAAGTCTGGTCGTCATTTTTCTTGACTTATCGGAGGAAATCCATTCGAAGAACGCAAGTCATACGATGGTAGGTGAGGGCTCGCAAATGTGCTGTAATTCACGCCATGGAATAGCTCACATTTTCCAGTGAGGTCGAAAATCAGATTCGGTTTAGAAGCTTGCCGCAGGGTAATTTTAAGCCACTGAACATGTATATGATGGATTTCGTTGGCAAATGAAACCGAACGCCTCGTGACACGTGGTTACGAGGGGTACAAGCAGAAGCACTCTTTCAGGCCACAATTGGCTACTACAACTTTTCAAAAAACTGATCGCAGTTCCGCCTCTAGGGTAGTGGCAAGGCGAGCAGAGATGTTAGGGGCTTAGTCAGCCCAAGTTCTTTGACGAATGCAAAAAAAGTACCTGCAGGCGGAACCGATCGGCTAACGGCGTCCGCGCTGAGAAACGCGCTCTCCCTACCGCGTTGCGCTCTACTACCAGCATTTAAGAATGACTCCAAACATGATATGTGAAAAGAGCGCTTCCACGTTTCTCACGATATGCGATGTGAAACGACCAATGCGGTGGATAAAACATTCGCATAACTCGTTGCCTAGAATCGCTTCTCCAATTTTTGAAAGGTAGTTCGCGAATTCATCGTCCCAAACGCGTACAACGGTGTGCAGCTCATTGGAAAATGCCGGACTGACCTGATTCGACCGTTTTCCTGTTAGAAATTTTTGGGCAGCGAAGTTAAACCAATAAAAAATGCCTTCGGCTTTTCAAAAAATGGGGTTCTACATCATTGTCCATGCTACATCGACAATCTAGAGCTCCTTCAAAGTTGGCTTTCAGAATACGTACTTGTGCTGGGCGTTAATGATTCCTCATGGGATATACACGCATGGCGATGCTCTGGTTCAAGATTCTGCAGATGCTCATTAAGGGCATTTTCCATGAACGTCTTTCCGCAGATCAGATGAGGGGGGGTGGAAGGAGAGTGTCTTTTAATTGTTAACAAATTCAGAACATTCCTTGAGTTTTGCACTTTTGATATCCTTTGACGCAGTTTTACACGAAGTTCTCCGCGGAGTTTTACATTCCTTGTCCACTGGGTAAGCTATCCTGCTGTTGATGTAATAACGACCACAAGCTGTTAACGAATACGATTTATTTTCGTCATCAGTTTGGGTCTTCCGCAGCATCACCTCATCTTCCAACATCTCTATCATGGTCAGATACGCTCTCCTTTGTCAAGGATTCCTTGACGCATACTTGAACGACAATGTTGCACTCGGTACACAGTATTTATTACTGCTTAGCTGCTGAATCGAGTGATGAAGCTCTGCATTCACTAATTCCGGCATTAGAAGCTTCTTATGAACTCATTTTACAATAGCACAACACAAGGATAAAGGAATAAAGCTTCCGTTGAGGAATCCCTTGTTAGAACTTTCAGTCAGAACCATAAAAGGGATTATTGAATGCGTTGGGCACTGACTAATCCTTTTCCCGTTATTTTTCGTCTCGTCGTTTTTTATAAGGAGTGTAGTAGGCAGTACCCGAGCGTTCAGGTTAACAATACAAACAGGCTCCCCTTATAATATCCAGGAGCTTTTTCCCACTTTGACAAATCCTCTCTTTTCAGCGATTCTTGGAATCGACTTACATTTGACGATCCACAGCTGGAACCTACCTTCACTTACATTGTGATACAGAAGCGACACCTTACACGATTCTACCGGCCGGCCAAGGACGAGCAAGGACAAGACACGTGAACTTTTAGTTAAAAGCACGAGAAAAGATTTCGGATTGAGTCCCGCTCGACCTTGCAATTGTTCCCTCTTCTGTTTTGGTCGATGGGAGAGCAGTAGTACACTTTGAGAGAAAGCTTTTTGAATTGAAATGAAATCAAGAAGCCCTTTGGTAACCTGTGAGTGAGAGGGTTTCTGTACAAAGATAATCAGTTTGTGGAAACCTCAAACTCACGGGCTTCAGACCCAGAAGGGAGGTCTTGCAAGTCGTGATGCCTATGTTCCGGACTGTTTGTTGCATTTTGTAGAAGTTCGTGTGGGAAACATTAGAGAGTATTTCACTTTCGCAGTTTGCGTCTTGAATGCCAAGAAGGTACGAGGAAAAATTCTGCGAATTCACAATAAACTCGACAGTGGCACTTAACTGTTTTTCGAACAAAAAATTCAAGTGTTTTGAACACGTTTCTGTTGGGGCAAAAATCCAGCAATCATTGATTTATGCAAACACAGGGCAATAAAACTTGTAGAATCACAAAATTTTGGTCGCCATTGGGGGGTTGAACAATCAAATACAACAGTTTTGCCCACGTCCGGTAACCCACTATGCATCGGTCCCATTATCTCTCACCAAAATGAACGAAGATGTTTACGCTGGTAAGGCTTCGAATTTGGAAGGGTTGCTGGCTCTGCTTCTGTGGGGTAGAACGGTGACAAGCGAACGCTGCAAATTAATCCATGAGTGGGAACCAAACATTTCCGGGTTTAGTATATTGTTCCAGAGCCTTTCTCTCTCATTCATTACTCCTTTCGATTCCGATAAGAAAGTTTCATAATAAGACACTTCTGTCTCCAGGGATTGGAAAACTGAACCCTGTGTGTAGCCCCCCCCCCCATACACTTATAGATTCATAGCTCGAGTATACTTTGGAATGTATCGATGTATGTAATGCCTGCTAGCCCTGAAAGTGAAGCTCTACGTAAATTGGTCTTGGATTTTGACAAGAAGATGGGACCACCTCTAGTGTTCGAATGAACAGTTTTGAAGGCATTGATGGAGTCAAAGCCCATTAATGCCTGTAATAGGTTTGTGAAATGAACAAAGATCAATAGCACTCCTCTGGACTGTAAAGGTGATAAGGTGGGAACTTATTCCTGTTTGGTGCATCCTGCATTTCTGTGTGAATAAACTTACCAGTTCTAATCGTTAGTTTGCAAAGGACACTATTTTGTACCTTCTCAAGTGCGTAAATGTGCTTTTTTCGTAGGGTTGAATACCGTAGTGCTAGCTTCTACTAAGGGTCGAACATAGGTCTCGTGGGCATGCAATAATGCTTGCGTGTTTGCTAATGATATACCTTTGGAAATGTGATTCTGTTGAAGGTATGTGAACGTGTCTTCGGGCACTGTAGTTGACAATATGGTCGTATCGCCAAAATTCTTCGACTTTTATTTAGCGTCTCAGATAGGAGCACTGGTGGGTAGACGGAACCCTTCTATGGTATTTGGTTTTCTGACTACTCTTTTCAGGGTACATTACGACCAGCACATTACACAGTAGTTCGTGACGACTGGATGTTGGGTCCGGACAAGATCTACGTGAGTGTGTTTGTTCATAGATTTCATCTTACTAAGAACAATGAATATTACAGGAAATGTGTTACCGACTATGTTTCCTATACGCGAGATGTAGGATTCCGGTTTCCCTCCCATGTCCAGTATATTACGCGCATCGCGTTTGTGAAAAAGCAAAAGATGTATATAAATCACTTCTTAGGTAAGTGTGTAGAGGCCATTGCTGAGGTTACGATCACTTGTAAGCCTTCCGAGGCTTTTTACGCCTTACACCTCAGCAAGCAGGGTACTTTAAAGCTTACACGCTTTATTCGCTTTATCCCTTTCGGCAGCCTTCGCAACCCTCTTTCCCACCTTCATACGTACGAACCTCAAGGCGAGGTCTTAACACCGGACTGCTCGCTGAAATTCTGATGGCATTGCATTTCTGCTAGTGGTTCCTTCCTTTCGCATTTATCCACCCCTCACTCCCCCCTCCCCCTTCGTAAACGACTTGAACACTTCATCGAATGGATTAGAATGTATAGTATTGGGTTGGCCCATAAGTAATGGCGTTTTTTCTTTCTCACTTAAATTTTTATGTGGAAAATGGTACTTTTTCGCAATGCGTCTTACACCGCTTGATAGACAATTTTCTGCTCTACAACACAGTGTCCTTGCCTTTCTGTTGTTTCTTGAATTTTGTCTGGTTTTATCCCACTGAAATGGAATGTTGGGTCGACACAAAAGTGAGTTTTCGACAACGACTTTTTGCGCTTTTTCTCGGTTCTCAAATCACAGAAGAAGCTCGAAACTTGTGCAGTATGAGACCAAGGAAAGTTGGTCTCTTATGGCAGCTTCAAGTTGGTTCAAGCGATCAAGCGCTGGTTTTTCGGACCTTGTAAATGTGCAATGCATGGGGGCCCTCTTGGAAAGCGACGGCCTGCAGAACCTACCCACTAATTTTCGAAGGTCTGAAATCAGCTGAGGGTGGTGGTTGATGATGATAAGGAACCATTCCATGACCTCTAACGCGGTTCTCTATTCTTTGTCTATGAATCTCCATGATAAGGCAATCCAGTATGCTCTCACTTGGACTCAACAGGGCATTAGGTTTGATGCTTGATGTGGGGTCAATATTGAAATCTTCGAATCACCTGAACTACTGTGAGCATTTCTAAGAGACATAGTCTTTTCACCATTCACTTAGCAAGTGAGCCTGTGCGGTTTTGCTTTTTAATTGGAATCAAAAAAGAGAGGCTGTCGAAAATCCTCAATTTCGTCGACCTGACGCTCCACTTTGAGCACTCAAATGTTGGTGGAAACTCTAAACTCAAGGAAACAAACAAGGGAGGTCGTTCAGGGCGTGCCCCGCTTTTTCAAAACGGTCTTTTGCATTTTGTAGGGGCTCGTACATAGGCTACAAAAGTGGTGTTCATTTTTGCGGTATGCCAAAAAAGGAGCGAAATACCTCTCCCAAGGAAGGGCCATTTAAGCCATCAAAATGCAGTCCAGTACGCTTGTAGCGTCGTATACACGATGTATTGAGGGTGATCTTCTCTTGAAGTTGTATGCCCATTTATAGAGCACGATTCCTTATGCGTAGTGGGGAGATCGCAGAAGGTTGTGGAGTGTCATAAGCAATGGACGCCACCTGGGTTCTTGGATCGGGTCCCGCCACTGGCGATATTTTTGCATTTGCTGGGACTTCGTCCTTTAGCATTTCCAATTGTCTGTAAATGGGTGCAGACCGCAAATATACGATTTGGCACGTTCTGTCGCATCTCATGAGTTGATGTTGCGGAAAGTTCCAGTAGATCACGACTGCATACATGTCCAAGCATGTACGAGCACACGAAAGAGTAGCTCAGAGAAAGCACTGCGCCTGCTTGGTATATGCTTGGGTGGCGGCTGGATACATTGAGGACCATCCTGAACCATTCCTGACTCCGAATGAGTACGGGTTCAACGATGGGGAGGTCGTTGTCCCGTGTCAAGAAACAACACCTGCACTTTGTTGGCTTTTGTCAAGTGTAGTTGGTGCGGCAAGCGCTTATGCTTCACATGCTTCGTAGAAACTTATCACAATTGCTGAACTTTTGTGTAATAAATGAATGAAAAATCCAAAGTTTGCAGATCATAGACGAAAAATGTCTACATCAACTCATGAAATGCGACAGAACGTGCCAAATCGTGTATTTACGGTTTGCACCCATTTACAGACAATTGGAAATGCTAAAGGACGAAGTCTCAGCAAATGCAAAAATATCGCCAGTGGCGGGATCCAATGCAAGAACTCACCATCCGCCACGTTCCAGAGCTCGATCTACTACCCACTGCGCCATTTGAAGGGAAAGTGGCGTCCATTGCTTATGACACTCCACAACCTTCTGCGATCTCCACACTACCATAAGGAATCGTGCTCTATGAATGGGCATACAACTTCAAGAGAAGACCACCCTCAATGCAACGTGTATTCGACGCTACAAGCGTACTGGACTGCATTTTGGTGGTTTGAATGGCCCTTCCTTGGGAGAGGTATTTCGCTCCTTTTTTGGCATACCGGTGGCCGCACAGCAAAAATGAACACCACTTTTGTAGTCTATGTACGAGCCCCTACAAAATGCAAAAGACCGTTTCGAAAAAGCGGAGCACGCCCTGAACGACGTTCCTGGTAAAAAACTGTCGTGTAGAGCAGGGAATTCTCTACAAAATAGTATGAAACTCAATGGCAAAAGTTTTCATCTTTAGCGAGATATTTCGAGTGAGAAAAAAAACGCCATTACTTATGGGCCGACCCAGTACCTATGTATTGGATGTCTTATATGAAGGAAAGATTGTTACCACAACGAAAAAAGCATTGAATTACATCATACTCAACACTAGTGGGTTTCTGTCTGCTAGCGGTCTCCTCCTCCAAGCGCTTCCTTCATCACACTGCCGAATCGCTTTGCGAAGGTACACACAGGGGTTCCAAGATTACCATGAACGATTCGCTACCTGACACTCAGCCTCATTGTACCAGTTCTCCAGACTTCCTGACAACTCGGAGTGCTTTTCTGCTGCATTTCTCCTCTACAGCTACCTAGCACTTTTTCGTTCCTAGGTGAGCTCCGCTGCCCGCAATCTTGGTCGCGGGCTTTACCTTTAAGTACATAACGCTGTGCTAAAACTCCGAGGGACTCATGTCCCACGAACGTTCCCAGTGCTTGTATATCTACGTGAACATGCTGCTGCTTCTTCCATATAAAAGAAGTGTTATAAGTTAGGCTCAGAGCAGACCTCGCATATTTTTAACGATTTCAGTGCCAAAACGTTTGATGGTCTCAGCGAACAGGAGCGGAAGGCTAAAATCGAAGAATGCCTTACTGTACGAGACAAATATCCGGGAATGCATTTCGTGTAGCGAATGCATCACTTCCAGCTATTTTCTATCTCTAGTCAGTGATCTTCTAATCATACTGATTCATGTTTTGTTATTTTCCGACTCACCAATCCTTCTTGCTGTATCCAGTCGATGTCGCCTTCAAAGTTTGTAGTTTGAAAGATAGAGAGATCCCTCTCCAAAAGCTTGATCTGCGTGTTGGGTCCCATGTTGCGAGTGGTTGATAAGCGTAGAATTCTGGTTTCGTCTAAAATTGTATACCTGATCGAAGGCACTTTTTGGCGCAGTTTGGGGACGAGCATCGGTCATTTTGCAGTTTTGCTACTTTCCGTCGACGCGTCGAGCCATCACGTGGAGAACAGTGAAATTTTGTGAAGTCACGAAATGATCAGCCAAAGTTTGTGAAAACCACTTGTAAAACTTGTGTCAAGCACTGAAATACCATAAAATTCCATTTACCATGGTGGCTTAAAGAGCTTGCTCCGGAAGGGTTCACAGGTTCCAACAGAGTGAGACCTGGAATCGGAAGGTCTACATTTTTCATTCTACATTTTTCTGTTGCTCCACTATATGAATATGCTTTCTGTTGCTCCACTACATGAATATGTAGTGGAGCAACAGAAGTGCAAAATGCCCGCTCCCGTCACCAAATTGTGCCCTCGTTATCTTTCTTGTTGTACACGTTGAATACGTTGCACACCTTTCATGGATTCATCAGTGGGGTTTCCATTGACACTGTTCCTTTCTAAAACGAAAAGAATTTTTCATCGTTCATCGCTTGACTGCTCTATAGAGATGAAGCTACATCAAGCTCAAGGAAAATTTGTAACAGCGTTTAGCACTTTTCATCAGTAGTACTAAGCTCGATGGTGTGAAAGCTTCACGCCATGCCTTGAGTCTTCATTGTTCCTTGCAAAAATGCCTATTCCTAGAGTATAGGGCAAACTTCGCGAATGTTTTTTCCTTTCCTTTTGCATGTTTTTGTTTCTCTAATCTTCCTGAATGATGTTTATTGAAGAAAAACATTTGCAAAAATCAGTTCCAGAATTGAATGCGCAAGAAAGACTAAACATTTTGCCGCTTTGTCAGGGAACTTTTTTCGCGCATTGTGCCCATGTTTCTGCGATCATGTCAGAAAAATGCGTCTCCTCCTAAACTTTAGAAAATTTATTCGGTATTTTTTAGAAACAAGTTAGTGCTCTGAATTGTAGATTGGCGTAGTTTAAAAGTCGTATTTTCTACACTTTTTCAGCCTTGTTTACCATGTCATTCCTATTTGTACGTTCTAGGAGACCATCTGCTTTTAAGCTGGCTGCTTGAAATTGTTACTTTGCCATGACTAACTATAGATTGTAGGTTGTCATATCATAAATTCTAGAATATGGTTTGTTTTGCATGTAATTTTGTTTTTGTCGGCCAGTTTCGCTATTAGTTAAGTCGAAGTAGCTGTTTACATGTGAGATAAGTGGATCCCCGTCCACAGAGTTTCCGTTCTGTCACTTTGAGTGTATAGCGAGAGCAGTTGTTTTTCGCCGACTTTCCATTCACCATGCCAGCAGGCTACAGTTTTTATTGCTATAATCAGTGGGGAGGGGAGGGATGGACTGACCCCATCAGGGTGCATCATGTTGGAATTTGATGGGCCCAACGCGGAAGGGGAAGGATGGCCATATTTCTCCCCCCCCCCCGCTCGACAGGTCGATCGTATCGATCGTATCAGAGGAGGGAACTAAGGGGATCTTATCGAGCCACTTTTTAGGGGGACCTTCCGACTCGACCAAAATCCCCAACTACTGATATGCCCTGGGCCTCATCACCTGGGTTGTCACCACTCGTCTCCTTTCTAAGCTGATCACTAGCCGATCACCACTGGCAGAGCATGGAGGCGGAGGCGCGTCCATTGCGCCTTCCTCCACCATCACCAACTGATTGCGGTGTTACAATATTACAAACTATACGAACAAGACCTCAGTGGGAGCAGAACCACCAGATACCATCAAGAAACAGTTGGACGTTTCGTTCTTTCTCTTTCTTTCTTTCTCTCTTCTCCCCTCTTTTTCATTCATTCATTTATTCTTTCTTTCTTTTATTACACAGCTACAGTTTATATCACTGCGACCAGTCGGGTCGCAATCAGCAATTCCCACCTGCGGCATTCTACCAGTGGCTGATTGGGCGACGGCTAGGATTCCACCAAGGGTCAGCCTGCTGCCGCAAGCGTCGAGGAAAGGGGGACCGCGCGGCGTTTGCATCCATCCGTTACATTTCCATCGGCATAGTTTATTATTTGCGGGTGTGAAAATTGTGAACAGAGTGGGTCTGACGTTTGACTACTAGTATAAAACAGCTTCGTTTACATAGGCATACTATTAAGGGTATGTATTAACAATCCCTAAAACTTAGTTCTGGGTTGAATACTTCTTTTAACTCAATTGTAAGGTATTGTAAGGGCCTGCACTATGCTTGAAGTGGAGAGGGTAAGTCATAAGTACTAGAGAACTGAAGATATGAGCCATACGATGATTCTAGATAATCGGTGAGTCTGCTCTAGCTCTTTTGCTACCGGTGGGCAAAAATGGTCAGTCATCGACTGATGGGAAGACCTCACATTGATTTCCCACGCCGAAAAAGAGTTGAAAAGAGCTAGAATCATGCTCTTGAGCGATTGCCGCGCGGCGAGGCGAAACGCAGCCGTAACCTCTCGTGAAGTCCCAACCCACTGGCTAATTCCTTCCTACATCGACCACTGCTCGATCACCATTGGTAAAGGCAGCCGGACGCGAGCTTCTACCTCTCTGCCCTCGCCGCCCCGACAAATTACAGTGTTACAAATTATAACTGTGTGGAGCTAATACAGCAAACACAATGCGCAACCCTTGAAAAACAAAGGCAAACGAGCAGTAAAGGTAGTTCCCATCATGAAATATCATTATCAAGAGAACACAATTGCAATGTGAGACGTTTATCTAGAGCTTTCTTGAAGGAACTGATTTTGTTGGTGGGTACTCCTCATCGGGCAAGTCTATCAAATTCTGAGAAGGTTCTGTCTGTTTTTTCAGCATGTGAATTTACTTCCGAGACGAAATGCTGACGTAGTCTCGGAGCATATGGTGCTACTCTCTCGCGATCGGCATCATTTTATTCATTTGTCCTTCTCGAGTCATATTTATCGGTAAAAATATCACATCATTTCGTCATCTGCCGTGACTGCCGCTGCGCTACTGGTATTTCGAAACTTTCATGGCTCAAAACTCAATCTCGTTCTATTCTCATTTTTGCATTGAAGGGGAATGTGTAGTTTCTACAGATGATTAGGGCGTACCCATTTATGAACTCGGAAAAAGTAAAGCAAAAAAGAAAGAAGGTCACGCTCTTTTTTTTTTCTTCCTAAAAGGGAATTAGGTTGCCCCGGGGAATAATGCACGTTTTCGTCCGATATAAAAACCGTAGCAGTCTGCAGGTCTCCCATTTGGATTAGTGGGTGGACGTATTTGTGCGACGCAGAACTCTGATGATCTGCAATTGATGAAGGTGAAGGTCTTTTTCTCATAGGGCAGGTTGGAAAGGCATTCCTCCCACAGCAAGATGTCCAGGTGCTTGATAAAAAGATAATGAGTGAAGATGTCCTTTTTCTACCAGTGTTAGGTAATGGCGTTGAAGTTTCTGTGTATTTTGCCAATTATCCAATTGCACTTCCTTGCCATAGTTACCGCTTCTGAATACAGGAAGCTACGGTGAATGAACGTCTTCACAGATCGTCCAACAGTGAACGTCAGCTTTCGGTGAAACTCCAGAGTTCGGTAAAAATGTGCATGGCTATTTTGCTGCTCAACCGCAGAGGCTTTCGTTACCAGCTTTTCCGAAAACCCTTTTTTTTTACCCTCTTCATTCTACGTAGCTGGAGGGGCCGTTGTTGCTGAGTGATGGGGACAGCTACCGGGACTCTGCTTGTGCTCCAGTCGTGTAGCATCCTTTATCGAGCTTTTTTGACTTCTCGAAACGCTCAAATCAGAAATCAGAAACTTCCGACGTACTCGATCTCTATGAAGTTCTTGTGCACATGCAATATATATAACATTGCTGTATAATTTTGATCTTACACGCCTCTCTATAAAAAGAAAGCCTAATTTGAAAAAATGTGAACACAGAACGTTCCCGCCAACCTAATAATTACGAATGTTAACCGATTGCTCGACGCTCGAAGGGGCCGGATTGACTACCCTTTCTCTCCCAGAGAGGAGAGCGGGATGTGCGAAGACATGAGTGTTTAATGCTTCTATAATACTTCAGTCGAACTCAAGCCTTTCGGCTCAGTTTTTTGCTTCTGATTAGATTCCTGCTTCTGAACTTCTCCAAGAAATGCTGGTCAGGTAAAGCACGATTTATCGAATCCAATCTTAATTCATTTTAATTCGGATAAGTAATTCAAATGCATTAGCTGACACTTGGACTGTACAACGGATGCATAACGGAATATACCTGAACAATGTAGTAGTGCCTCTACACAAGCACATTAATTGTGAGAATGGCGTCATAATATAACATTCAGTAGTTTAAACCTGATTGTCTTGAGGTTAATATTTGATCCTGTGGGCTTTTCGCAACTGATTGATGATGCCAACTTTGAGTGTGAGTCGTGGAAAGGGGAGTCGATGGACGAGATATGGGAAGAGGTACGTTGATTCTGATGGGGTATACCGACGGAAGTCGTTTGTCTGAAAGGAGTTGACATACATAGACCAGGTTTTCCAACTGAGACCTTTGGAAGAGTCACATTTTATTTTTTACGCCCTAATACTTTAAAAGCATAGTGTAAGATGACAAAATGAGAAAAATGTGCTCACACTATGAAATGGGAAGTGCTGGATGGCTCATCCTTGAGATAAAGAGAAGCTTGTCGAAAGCGCCTTGGGTAAGACCCCCTAGTACCACTTACCAGGGAAGTCCGCCAACATACCATGGAACTTTGAATGGAGACCCTGGTAGGTCGATAGGAATTATGAATTTATTTACAAATGTAG